AAGTTCTGTGAAGCATTTATCTTTTATGACAAGTGCTTCTTCAAAGGACTAGCTTTCCACCTGAAAATACCGCTCACATTCTGCCTGAAACAAGGATTGTTACCTGCGAGCATTTTGGAGGGGTGTCAGTTTCAGCATTTTAGAATGCCTTATCTGCAAGCTTAGTGGACCCCTTCCAGAAAACAGTATTAATACTTTCACATGTTTTCCACTTAGGCTGTCTGCAGTTTGTCTTTTATTTTATACAAGACATCAAACAACTCAATGCACAGTAGAAATACTTTTATGGGGGTCTGTTTTACCTACCAATGGATTTGTATTTCTGTCCAGACAGGAGAGCAAGGTTGGGGTCCTGACTTTTCTTTTCCTCAGTTAAAGCTGAACTCAAGATCTAAATATTTATGTATACGAACATTGGTCCAGCTTATCCCACTGTTGGTGTACATACTTTTATACTCAATAGGGTCAAGTAGATCCTGTAAAACACTGTAGTAGCTGGAGCTACTACAGTGTTTTACAGCGATCTTCTGGGTCCCGATACTGCTATTATGGTGAACAAATACACAGACGGATGCTCACTGAGCACAGCGGCCATTCAGCGAATGCTTCATATGTTTTATCAGTAAATACAGTAAACTCCCCATTTACAGTATCAAAGCAAACGGCACTCTCAAGCAAACAGCAAAAAAAATCAAGGACATGATCTTTGTTTACATCTTGCTGGCAGCAAGATTCTGTGGTCGGCAGCAGAATGTAAACAATGGGGAGCAATAGCCAGCCTTCTATTGGCTATTTCAAATTGCAATAACCAAGAGCAGGCTGGCTATTGTAACCGCCCTTTGAGCAGAGGAGCAGACCCGAGAGAGAACTTTCTCTCTCAGGTCCTGAGCAGAGAAGCCGACCTGAGAGAGAAAGTTCTATCTCAGGTCTGCTCCTCTGCTCAATGGGCGGGGTTTCAATAGCCAGCCTGCTATTGGCTATTTCAAAATGCACTAGCCAGATAGCAGGCTGGCTATTGCAACCCTGCCCACTTAGCAGTGGAACAGACCTGAGATAGAACTTTCTCTCTCAGGTCCGCTTCTCTGCTCAGTGTGTGGGGTTTCAATAGCCAGCCTGCTATCTTCTATTATTCCCAGCTGCTTACATTCACCTGTCAGCTAGCTGGCTGGTAAATGGGTTGGCGGGAAGGGTGCCGCGGGAGGGGGGGGTCGGGGTTGCTACTGATACCCGTGGGTGCCGGATAACTGGGAGTTTACTGTACTA